TTTGTAGCTCTGACCCCCTCAATGGCATTAATCACTGAAAAGAAAACTTCCGTCCACTGTGTTGTGTTTGTTACTTATCTTGGCAACGGTGCGGTTGTTCTGAGATAGTTGCCCCACCTTAAAAAAAAAATAGAATTGGAAAAAGTACAGAGATGGGGAACAAAAATGTCCTGGGGAATAGAGCTGCTTCCATGTGAGGATTTGTAGCTCTGACCCCCTCAATGGCATTAATCACTGAAAAGAAAACTTCCGTCCACTGTGTTGTGTTTGTTACTTATCTTGGCAACGGTGCGGTTGTTCTGAGATAGTTGCCCCACCTTAAAAAAAAAATAGAATTGGAAAAAGTACAGAGATGGGGAACAAAAATGTCCTGGGGAATAGAGCTGCTTCCATGTGAGGAGAGGTTAAAAAGACTGACTGTTCAGCTTAGAAAAGAAATGACTAAAGGGGAATATGAAATCATGACTGGTGGGGAGAAAGTAAATAAGGAAGTGTTATTTACCCCTGTACATAATACCAGAACCAGGAGTCACCCAATGAAATTAATAGGCAGCAGGTGTATAACAAACAGAAGGAAGTGCTGCTTCCCACAACACACAAATCAACCTTTGGAATGCATTGCAGCAGGATGTTGTGGGGCCCAAAAGTAGGTTTGAAAAAGAATTAGATATGTTCACGGAGGACAGGTCCATCACTGGCTATGAGCTATGTAATCAGGGACACAACCCCATACTCTGGGTATTCTTAAAGCCCTGACTGCAAATACCAGGAATAGATTATTCACTAAACTGCCCTCTTCCATTCATTCCATCTGACACATCTAGCACCAGACACTGTCAGAAGACAGGATACAGAGCTAGATGGACCATTGGTCTGACCCAGGACAGCCAGTCTTACATTCGTATGCAACCATTAGTGCTCACAGCCTCTTGGGATGGTTATATTTAAAAGCTGAACACAAGCCCTGATGAAGCCACCTGGTCTTTGCTCACTGTTCTGATGTTTTAGTCAATCCAGAATTCCCTGGTATGGTTCCTGCTTAGAGGAGTTTGCTTTATGTCGCTGTTTGATTCCAGTTCTGATCCTTGACCTCGCGATTTGGAATAGGAGTGAATCACAACATGTGTGTCTCAGCATCCTGTGACTGCCCGCTCAGAGGAAGAGCTGATCAGTATTTTCAGCTCGAGAGTAGATGCTCTTAGAAACTCCGATTTGTGTTATGGGCTGGGTCGAGACTCTGAATTTGAAGACCAACAAGAGTTCTTTCTTGTCAGCATTATTGAGATGGAGCATTACTTTTAAGAATTAAAGCTGCCCTCTGGTGTCCTTCCACCTGATGAAGATTGTACAATTTGAACTGCCTCTGGGATCTAGATTCTTACCTCATTTAGGTGTAAATTTTGAGTGGCTCCACTGAAGTCAGTAAGGGGAGACAAATTCCAAAGTCATGATACCATAGATGCACATTATTCTGTTAGCAGCTTCTTCCAGTTTAAACTTAGGGATCTCCAACTCAGCCCCCTCTGCTGATCAGAAGTTCAAGTTTGTTGTATGGGGAGAGTGTCATTCTCTTGGACAGGCATATCCCATGCCTGAGCTAGTCTAAGTCAACTTTTGAGCAGAGTACCAGGTGTTTAACAGGCTGTCAATACAAATCCCACAGTCTTAATGCAATATTCTCCCAGCAAGAAACCTCACTCGGCAAGCAAGCTGCTGCGTTGTGTACCAACTTCAGTTTCCAGGTGGATTTAATGTATAGAAGTATGCAGAGAGCACTGCAGAACAGACAGTTCTAGAGGTGACCCAAGCATGGATGACAGTTGCAAGACCAGAACCCTATAAAAACATCCCAGCTCCAAAGCAGGCTCAGATGGAAACATCTAAAATAAAAAGCTACCGGTGGGACAATGCAAGGAACAAGGCGCAAGTCAACATGGGTGACAGAAGGTGTCTTAGCCTCAGGCTGAGGGCCAGGCATAAGCAACATCTTTCCAGTTAACTTGCTGTTATGTTGTGTTCTTCTCACACAAGACCTAGGCCATCAGACCACTGTCTGATGTGCATCCCCGTCTGGATACAGTGGAGGCAGGACGAGCTGATAAATGGAACATCCTGTGCCAAATGATGCAATTGTTTTCATTAGCCCCACATAGCCCAAATCTGTTAAGCCTTCAGGGCACACTGTAAAACCCATATGTTAGGCTCAGGCTTTGGAAGAGCTGGGAACAGGAGAGGGGGAGTAATTTGGGCAGAGGTCGATGCTATTGTGCTTTTTCAGGTTAATCGTCTGGGATGGTTTTGGCTGTGGGTGAAATGTTGTGCTGCTAAATGTATTTATTTCTTTTTTGACTATAAGGGTATGTCTAAACTATGGGTTTTTTTATCGCTTTTTCGAAAATGGGTCTTTTGAAAGTGAAAGTAGTCTGGACATGGTTTTTTCAGGGCAAAAAAAAACCCTTTTTTGAAAAACGGCTCTTCCTTAAAAAAGGAGGTTTACGCGGTTTTTCAAAAAAGGGATTTTTTTCACAAAAAATCCTGCGTCCAGACTACTTTCGCTTTCAAAAGACCTGCTTTCGAAAAAGTGATCAGAAGAAGACATACAAATTCCCATGGGAATTTGCATATCCTCTTTCAAAAATAAAACGTAGTTTAGGCATACCCTAAGTGTTTTTAAAAGGTTTGTCCATGGCATCTAGAGCTAGCAGTAGACACTTAAAAATATTTACTTTTTTGGTCCTTATGTCACGTCCATCACGTAGCAGCTGAGCACATCACAATCTGCAATGCATTTACCCTCGCTACAACTTTGTGGTATAGGGCAATGCTACTATTGCCATTGTAGAGACGAGGAGCTGAGGCACAGAGAGACTGAATAACTTGCCAATGATCACACAGGACTGCTTTGGCAGAGCCTGGAAACCCGGCCTCTCCTGCCTCAGGCTGTTGCCCCTAGCCACTGGGCCATCCTTCCTCAGCTAATTTTTTCAGATAAATCTGAAATTAACGAGGATAAATATGACTTGAAAAACCCCTTTGTCACCTTGCAAGTTATGGAAGTAACAGGTCACCCTGCTCCCAGTGATTCATGATTGCAAATGCAGAGATGTGGTTTTCTTCATATTTACAGAGTCTTACTCCCGAGGTTCTACTGAGCAACTTCAAAGCCCAAAACTAGAGCCGGGCTCTGAATATTGCCAGAATCAGTGGCTGACTGTTCCTGTGTTAGAGCATGGGACATTTCTCATTTCAAGAGGATGTGAAGGGGAAGAGAGGAGACCCAAGGGAAGGATGAAAATGCTTATGAAGAAGCAGGAAAGAGGAGCTCGGGGCTTTAGTCAGGGTCCTGGCACTTGACATACACGCTCTTAAGGACCTCTTTTGAACAGCAAAGACAATGGAGTTAGTTTTTGCCAAGATGCATTTGATGGTGATGGTGGTAATACTGGGCCTGAGGCTGTTATATATCTTATAATATGAACAATTCCAATTCTAGGTAGAGGGCCGTCAACCAATCCTCCAGTTGGCTTGTCTCACAAATTGTAGAAATTTACCAGGATACCTCCCATTGCGTATACACTTTGGCTGTGTCTAGACTGGCCAGTTTTTCCGGAAAATCAGCCGCTTTTCTGGAGAAACTTGCCAGCTGTCTACACCGGCCGCTTGAATTTCCGCAAAAGCACTGACTTCCTACTGTCTGAAATCAGTCCTTTTTGCGGAAATACTATGCTGCTCCCGTTCGGGCAAAAGTCCCTTTTGCGTAAAACTTTTGCACAAAAGGGCCAGTGTAGACAGCTGAGATTTGTTTTCCACAAAAAAGCCCCGATCGCGAAAATGGCGATCGGGGCTTTTTTGTGCAAAAGCGCATCTAGATTGGCCACGGACGCTTTTCCACAAAAAGTGCTTTTACGGAAAAGCGTCCGTGCCAATCTAGACGCGCTTTTTCCGCGTTAAAAGCATTTCCGGAAAATCATGCCAGTCTAGACGTAGCCTTTGATAGCATTACACACAAAATTGCATAGACTCCCCCAAATTCATGATTACTAAATGTTGAGTTTGATTTGAGTATAAAAGTAAAAGAATTAGGAAGAGTATTATTGGGAAAGAGCCCTTTTAACACTCCCTTTTAAAATACAAATATCGTAGAAGTTATCGACTGTTGATATTGATCACTAAGCCATGACCAAAGTGTTTATGTCATTTACAATCACAAGGTCATGTTTCCAATAGAAGTGATAATAGAATAGATGTTGCACTGAAAACAAATCAGCCTGTCAGGAAAAAAAAAAAAGACTCTTTTGGATAACTGTAAAGAGAAAAATTTCAAAAGCCTTCCTGACTGTGAGTAAACAGTAACCACTTTTTTTGTGTGTGCCTGTTGGAGGCCTGGTTTTTAATCACCCCACAAGCAGTTTTCATTTCTGTAGTAAAATTGCTTGTGGTTCTATTTAATTTGTTTCTGCAGGAGCCAGCTTTGGTGAAGATCTCCCAGGAGCTCCCGGGCCTTTTAGCACAGCACGCACAGCCAGTCAATGAGAAACGATTTCCTACATGGGAAAAATTCCTCCAAACATTTCTTAGTCAAGGTAAATAAGACTGCAAAGTTCCTGTTAAGTATTATAATGGGTAATTATACCATACTCTGTACTATCTTCTTGTTAATCTTGAGCTTGTTTAGAAATTTATTTTTTCCACGTTCTATTTAGCTGTCCATTTAAGAATGATGTACAGACAATTATTCTATCATTCTTATATCCTACTCACATGTTTAACCTTAACATTGATGCTACCTCTCCTACACTGTTCGGAGTGAATAAGGACCAACCATTTTAATCTTTGTGTCACTAGATTGGAGCTTATGTTGCATTGGGCAAAGAAGCCCAGCAGGAAATCTTAGCATGTGGATTTGTAGCATCCAAAACTATTAGTTCAATCCTCTCATTTATTGGTCAGGAAACAAGTGGGGAGAGGTGTGGCTTGGCTATCCTGCTGGACCAGAAAGTGGGCTGCATGTAGCACTAGTTGCCTACTGAGGGGAAGAATTCAGAACAACCAGCCAACCCCCCAAGCCGTTCTTCCATCACGCGAGTTTAGTAAGTTGCTGGAGCGATGTGCCCTGCAGTTATATTAAATTTGATACATTCCAGGGATTTCATTATCTGTAGAAGAGTCACATGTAGATCTGTGTTCCCACTTGGAAGTGGCTTTGGGGAAATCATGCCCACTGTCACAGCTAGGCAATGTGTGAAAAAAGGATCCTTTATCATAACTGAATCAAATACGATCTCACATGCACCATTCATCTGAAGGAGTGTGCTGTGCCCACGAAAGCTCATGAGACCATCTACATGTTGTGTTAGTTTCTAAGGTGCTGCAGGACTGTTTGTTGTTTTTAGCATTTTTCTCATGTGCACCGGTAAGTTAACATGGAATACCAAGTAATCCTGTTAATGCTGTCTCTATAAGAACATAAGAACGGCCGTACTGGGTCAGACCACAGGTCCACCTAGCCCAGTATCCTGTCTGCTGCCAGTGGCCAATACCAGGTGCCCTAGAGGAAATGAATAGATAAGGTCATCATCAAGTGATCCCACTCCAGCTGTTCATTTCCAGCTTCTAGCAAACAGAGGCTAGGGACATGATCCCTGCTCATCCTGAGTAGTAGCCATTGGTGGGCCTATTCTCCAGGAATGTATCTAGTTCTTTTTTTAAGCCTGTTATAGTTTTGCCCTTTCCAGCAGCCTCTGGCAAGGAGTTCCACAGGTTGGTTGTTTTAATCCGGCTGCCTATTAATTTCATTTGATAACCCCTAACTCTTATATTATGAGCAGGCATAAATAACACTTCCTTATCTGCTTTCTCCACACCAGTCACGATTTTATAGACCACTCTCATATCTCCCCTTAGTTGCCTCCTTTCCAAACTAAAAAGTCCCAGTCTTATTAAAAGTCTCTCCTCATATGGCAGTTGTCTCATACCTGCATAATTTTTGTTGTCTTTTTCTCAACCTTTTCCAATTTCAATGTATCTTTTTTGAGATGAGGTGACCACATCTGCATGCAGTATTCAAAATGTAGACATACCATGGATGTAGGTAGATGCAATATGATATTTTCTGTTTTATTGTCTATCCCTTTCTTAATGATTGCCAATATTCAGTTTTCTTTTTTGACTGCTGCTGCATACTGAGTAGATGTTTTCAGAGAGCTCTCCATGATGACGCCAAGGTCCATCCTTCCTTCCTTGAAGAGCTATGTAGTATTGTTGTTTAGAGCAGTGTTTCTCAACCAGTGGCATGCGTACCCTTAGGGGTACTTGAAAGAAGTCTGGGGGGTACGTCAACACAACTGAAATTTGGAGAAAATGAATTTTTGTTGTAAGTTTTACAGAGCTTTATTATTTTTGTACTTTTTATACCCAAAAATTTCATCACCTGCTCGGCTACAAGTAAGTTGTTTAAACAAATGTGTTGCAATGGTAGAAAAAAATTGTGTGAGTCTGAAAATTGTAGATACTAGGGGTACTTCTAATTTTTTTTTTTTTTAAGTGGGTACTTATAATTTTTTTTAAAAAGGTGTACTTTATTAAAAAAAAGTTGAGACACTGGTTTAGAGGACATATACTTCATTTTCTGAGATATGCACAGGAGTTAGCTGCACAGTTCTTATTTTATTTATGTATTTATTTACTTGAGGCACTTCTGTAACAGTGTGTGTGGCCCCCAAACTGATTTTTTTTTGTAGGCCGTAAAGTCTGAGTACAATAGGTGGTGTTGGTTGAAGTCTGTGCGACTCTGAAAATATTGGAGATTGAATTCTATTGGAAGTCTGACACACAATTCCTTTCTTACCAGGTGGTGTCATAGAAGCTTTTCCACCCTCAGAAAATGTCACCAACCTTACAGTGGATATGCTGATAGACCCAATGGGAGATGTAAAGATAGCTTCATCTGGCGATCAGATCCATGCCGATGGGCCTTTGCAGTCATCTGGCACCACGGTTCCACAGTGTTCCGTTGATCCAGCAGTTCTGAATTCATTATGTTTAAAAATTGGAGAGGCCTGCAGATCTAGAGGAGTCCTTGGCTACTTCTCAGTTGACCTTGTAACTTTCATCCACCCGCAAACAATGACGCAACAGGTGAGTTGGACAGAAATACATTACAGAGTGTACCAGAAAGTTCTAGAAATATCTGAAATGCCCACAAGGCTTTCGCAGGTCATGTGAAAACTCACTGAGCTCATCCACTTTTCCCCGGACACGTTCTGGTGTTTCTGTGCTTCCGATTGTCTAGCTGTAAAATGGGGATTTTATTCCTGCCTGGAGCTTTTGGGAGCCTTAGTTTGGTAATATTTGTAAGTGGTTTGAGATCTTTGGGTAGAAGCTGCTGTGTGAGTACAAAATACCTTCTTCATAAATGCAGTGGTTGTGAAAGTTACCAGACAGACGGTGATAGAGATTTAATTCCCCAGACCAAGCGCCACACAAGCAATGCGTGTGCAAGTGTCACACTCCATTAATGTGCCTAAAGTATCCCTCACTCGTTTTGCATAGCTGATCACTCATTGGATAGTTGTCATGGGCTGATGAGTGCTGTGTTGTACCAGCCTGGCCCTGATTTGAAATGGTGACACAGAGCTCTGATAGACTGTATTCAGTTGCTATTTTCTGAGCCATCTCGTTCCCTGCAATTAATATTTTAAAGTATTAGTATTAGCAGAATGTTGACTAGTTTGAACCTCTGGGTTTTTTTCTTAAAAACTCTATGTATTATGGTAAGATATACTGAATTACTTCAATAAGTGCTCACGTCCTGAAGATCCTGCAGAATTCTGCAAAAAAGAGTCTTTCTGTGGCTGCGGAATTATGGAATAAATAGAGCCCTAAATAATAAACTTTCCCCTCTTTCAGCTCTGAAAATACAATGGTGCCAGCTTTCAGATACTTAGATTTAGAGAGTGTTAGATCAAGGGACAGTGATCTCAGCTGTTGCAGTGGTACACAGGGAAACAGGTAATCTTTCAGCCCTGGTCTTCACTAGGACCTTAGTCCAAAATAACCCCCTCAAGTTCAAATTAGTAAGTGGTACATCTGCACTACCAAGCCCGTTATTTCAGAATCACAAGCTTCAGAATTCCAACTCTGTACTCCTGCTTTTTATCAGGAATAATACTCATTTCAAATTTGTAAATTCAAAATAATGTGAGTGTGGATGCTCTGGTGCCACTCATTCAAACTCATTGGCTTTCCGGATGCTTCCCATGGAGTGTTTCTTGGGACTCTGCATCCAAGGAAGCACATCCATATAACCAGAGCCTGCCTCGGACTAGTTTCGATGCGTCCTCGTAGTGAGGACACGCAAGTTTGAATTTGTTAAATCGGGAGTTCTTAAGTCGAATTTAGTAATTTCAAAATAATTTCCTAATGTAGACATGGTCTCAGAGAGCCAGGGCCAAGCAAGATCGGGTTTTAGTCCTAAGATTTTTAAATGTCAGCTGCTCGAGTTACATCTAGAAGTGGCTGTATTAGGAAGTCAGTGTCATTTTTGAAACTGATATATGACGTGCAGCCGGCAGCAGGCAGAAAGAAGCAGCAGAGCGCTGACCAAACAGAATCCCATGGAATGCTACCTGGGAGAGCCTGACCCGTGAATGAGCAATGGGATTACCTTTAAGAGGTAAAATCAGAACTGCTCAAGTAACTCCATCTACCCATGCCTGAACCTGCAAACCTCACTGTGTCAGCTGTATCAGACTTCTGACGAGGCGAAAGGCGGCGTAATAAATCCACCAGGTAGAGTATCAGTTCCAAAACATGTTGATGCCTATAGAAGGTCAGAAAGAAAGAAGAGTAATTGGAAGCACGGTCTTTCTTGTAAACCAGCCCACTCCACATCCAGATTCCTCAAGCTGCATGCTGCTCTTGCAATCGCTTCTTTCCAGATGGCCTCAAGCTTGTAGCACCCCGGAGCCCACAAGTGAGAGTGGATTTACAGAGGCAATGTACACACAACTACAGTGAGTGGAGAGGTTTCAGGGAGGTCGCAGTGTTAGTCAGTTTCAGCAAAAACAGCAAGGAGTCCGGTGGCACTTTAAAGACTAACAAATTTATAATTGTACATCTATAGTACCCTGATAAATTTCTTAGTCTTTAACATGCCATTAGACTCCTAGTTGGTGGAGATTTACCATCCTTATAAAATATTTTGGGGTTGGGCAATGCATCAGCCAGTGACACAGAAATTATTTCGAGGGTATGCTGAACACGGTGCTACAGTTTTTGGCTTCATGATTTTAGTGCCTTTTCTGAAAGGGCTCACAATGCAAACGATCCGTCTAATTTTATTAGCAATTTTCAGCATGTTTCAAGCTAACTCTTGTTCCATATTTATTTGCTTTTTCTTCTGGCATAGACACGCCTTTCCAGTTTTGGCAAAATTGTGGGACAAAATATTGATTCTGCCTTGTGTTTTGCTGATCTTGCGTAATCGTGCATTCATTTAGTTTATAAGGCCAGATTTCTGTCATTGTGTGATCATTAAAACATCCTCATAATGAAAGTCAAACTACTCCGAATATTTTCTTCTTATTAAGAAAGAAATCATGTTACTAAATAAAAAGGGGCATTGAGATGAAGGTTTTTGCAATTTGCACAATTGGCCAATAACAAAAGCCTGGTTTAGGGGTCAAAAACTAATGATAAAAGTTTAACAAAAAGGCAGAATCCTCGCAGGTGCTGGTGAGTGCTGCTTTATGGTTATTGGTACAAGTATGTATGTTCCAAATCGGAACATAGATCAAAATGCTAACACAGGGTCCCAGTTATACTGCAGCCTCAGAACCCAAACCCATTTACATCACAGATTGACAGCCTCTCCCTGTTTGCTGGCTCCTTTCTTACTGACTCCTGAGTGTCAGAATTCCTAAATTATCTGTGCAAGGTTGTTGTCTCCCAAGGGATTGAAATAATTAAGACACTTCTATATATTTATTAGGCACATGTCCATATATTAGCACATGTATTTAATTGGGTAAATACATGGCTGGGGGTTTCACAGGAACTTATGACACTGACATGCCCAGATCTATTCACTGGAATGTGTATGCCTGCCTACCATCGGCAGCTTTGAAAATCCCACCCCATGTGCTTTGTGCAAGGAGGAGTGGAAAAGGCCGAAATACAGGGTTCATTTAAAGCCCAGTAGTTACTACATAGTGGTATCTATTAGCAAAAGCTGGCTCTGTAATGGCACGTTATGAGAATCGTGTTCTGTTGCAAGCACAGAGGAAGCTGAGGTATCTGATGCCACTCAGTGGTGTCTGGTGGCAGATGCTAACTTTGAAATGGGGACCACTGTGGTACGTGACCCAAAATATGTGTGTGCTCAAAGGTGTGATTTGAACCGGGGGGCCGAAAGCCACTGCAGGCCCCTGGGCGAGGTGGGGCAGCTCCATGCTACCTGAAAAGGTGGGGCTTCGGTCAGAAGGGGGCGGGGCCAGGACAGCCAGCCCTCCACACCAGCCAGAGCATGGAGCGCCCTCACCGTCAGCTCTCAGAGCTGCTCCAGCAGCGATTTAAAGGCCTGGGGGCGCCAGGCACCTCTACTGCCACAGTAGCAGCAGCAGCATATGGGAGCCCTGGGCCCTTTAGAGTCACTGAGCCCTGAGTCAGCTGCCTCCTTTGTGTCCTCCCCCACCCTCTTCCGTTCACAGGCCTGTTTCAGAGCGTCCTGTAGATTAGCCACCCTGGATAACTTCCACGAAACGATAAAAACACACAAACAAATAATAAAATGGCTCCCCGGTGAAATCCTGGCTCCACCGAAGTCAGTGGGAGTTTTGCCATTGATGTCAGTGGAGCCAGGACTCCATTGAAATGCAAAAACACTGTCGTCATATGAAGGCTGGTGCATCCTGACAGAAGCCAGGAAAGTTACAATTAATTAATGCTGTTTGTTCTTTTATGGTCCTTGTCTGTTCTGCCTTGTTTTCCTTCCCTTTTCCCCCCAACGAGCCTACCTTAAAATGGCCTGCATTTGTCAGCTTGCACCACAACTTTAGCATTATTTAAGCACAGTTTTTTAAACTTAATTAGATATAGAGGCAATTAATGATGCCATCTGTCTTGTTGTATGTGCGAGAGAGAGAGAGATTACACAAAAGATTGTGCTTCTGAAAGCACTATTTTTTGGCAAACAAGAAATCCTATTAGACTCTTAGAACGCTCACGCTAATTTCAGAAGTACCGATTTTAATGCGGTAGCTGAAAGGCTCAAATAAATTTTCCGGAAGCACTGTATACTTAGGCATCCTTTCAAAGTTCTATTTTACAGAAAATATCAAATGATCTATTGTTTTTCTTCAGTAAAACTAAAAATTAAAGATATAATTGAACATCTGTTACCAGTACAGTCTAACAGCATTTAAATACATTAAAATCCCTGAAACCTTCATAAAGTTATATGTATCTTTTACATAAACACAACTCTTCAAGCAACGCGAAGAGCCAGATTTTCAACTTGTGGGTGAGAGGGGTACAAACTCATACTGTGTCCGTGAACAAAAATCTGCAGACGGAGAGAGAGAATGAGGGCTTAGAAGAAGTGCATGTATTTTTGAGGTTTCAAAAATTTTCCCCTTAAAGATTTTTAAATTCCATATTTCTCTCTTTCAAGCAGGATTTAAAATCTTTCATTTAATACTGTCTTGAAAAAATCGCAAAGTATTTCCTTGCAACACACATTTTATGTTGTTCTGAGTCTCATTTATGCTGCGTCTATGTGAGTTGTAGCTGACAGTTTCAAACAGGTTAATGTCTATATGTTGAATACATAACAATCAGAGCAGTACCAGGTTATCTATAGTTGCTGGCTGATCGCATGGAAAAGCCTGCACTAATAGGGTCCTACAACTGCTTTATATCCATGGGTATCCGCATCCGCAGATATGGATGTGGATATCCGCAGCTCATTTTTGCAGATGTGAGTACAAATTTTGTACCTAGGACCCTGCAAATTTGTGGATATCCACTTTATATGTGTGAGTGTCCTCATGCACAGCTGTGGATGCAGATATCCGCAGATCACTTTTGCAGATATGGATGTGGGTGCCAGTTTTGTATCCGTGCAGGGCTCTATGCAT